TTGAATATATCTTCATATCTTTACAAACTATCAAGGATTTAGAACAGCAAAAATGGGGTCACGGAGCAACGTCAAATTTGAGTAATTTGCTAATTTTCACTTTATAGTATTTATAGCAAGAACTCGAATAAATGGAGTTGAAACAAAATAAAATTTACATGTTTAAATTCAGTCTTGCTGTATTATTTATGATGCTATCAGGTAGTGTAATACATCGTTCCGTTTAAAAGGTATCAGTCTCTAAATACCTTAGATGGACTTGATTTAAAAAGGCAAAAAACCATGACGTTTAAAGACGTCACGGAGCAGTGAGTAGCAATAAAATTTTGTTTTCCATTGGGGAAACTTCTTTAGCAAACTTAAAAAAATATGTATAAACGAAAGAATGTATGAAAAATAAGCTGTGTATTTGTATAAAATGGAAAATACAATTTTCGAGTGGTAGCGAGTTTAAATCAGACGATGGATGGTCTGCAACGAAACAGATTATAGTTGAAAATCTTGTCAAAAGAGTTAGGAACGTCATTAAACGTGATGTGCGCTTCACTGCTGCGGAAGTAATAGAGTTCCGCGGTAGTCCTGAGCAATTTGAAAACAATGGCAATCTAGTTCAAGATATTTGCACAATTGTGAACAAACTAGGTGTTTAGTGTTATGGATAAGTTTTTACGAATGTAGAAGACTCTGAAAAATGTGTATGAAATTTAAACGCAGACTAATTTTGAGAAACTTTTTCGACGTTGTTTTGACGTTACAATGTTGGTTAACCGTGCTCCGTGGTAACAAAACATGTTGCTTTAAGAATTAGCTGGCACGAGTTCAATTTAATCAAATGGAATGAAACTTCACACATCGACAAATTAAATGTTTTTATTTACGAAAATATGTTGATCTATATTCTTGTAATAAAAATATAACGACGAGGAACATTGTCTACGTATTTTTTGAATGACCCTCGTACAAGTTGGTTCTAAGTGATTACTAGTGTTATAGTAATTTTTTTTTAAAGTATTAATAATTCTGTCTGTAAACCCTCTTAAGTTAAGAAATTCCACCTTTTAATGCATCCGCTATCGAAGATTCGGGTGTTTATAGTTTTTGTCGTGTCCGTCCGTCTAGCTGTCTGTTTGCCTGCAAATCTGTCTGTCTGTTTGCCTGCAAAAATTTTAACCTTGCCCATAACATTTGATTTAATGGGAGCTACTACTTTTATATTTCACATATGTATTCCTTGTGTCAAGACCTTTCTTCGGGTACCACCAAATTTGACCTTTTGACCTTAGAGTTTGACCCACTTTTACACAAAAATTCCAAACTTTTACTTTGGCCATAACTTTTGAATGGTAGATACCAGGACTTTTATACTTCATATATGTATTTTTTGTGGCAAGACCTTTCATTGGATGCCAACAAACTTGACCTTTTGACCATGACTTTTGAGATTTCCGTACTTATGAAAAAACTTTAACCTTGGGCATAACTTTTGAAGGGTATGGCCTAGAGCTTTAATACTTGACATATGTAATCCTTGTGAGAAAAACCTTCATTGGATACCAAGAACTTTGACCTTGACCTTGGAGTTTGTCCTACTTTTAAAAAACAAACCTTGACCATAACCTTTAAAGGGTTAGGGCTAGTGCTTTCATTCTTTGCATATTTATACCCCCCCGCAAACGAATAGGGGGTATATAGGAATCACCTTGTCCGTCTGTCTGTCTGTCCGTCTGTCCGTCTATGGATATAATTTACTTTCACACAAAGATTGCTCATGACCTAAGTGTGTGTTATGACCTTGACCCAAGGTCATTTGGGGAAGTTCAAGGTCACTGAAAGAAAAATTTCATAATTCATGTTTGGTACATATCTTTCTTATGGAAAAACTTGAGTCTACTACTTTACACAAAGACTACTTATGACCTGAGGGTGTGTTATGACCTTGAGCCAAGGTAATTTAAGTTCAAGGTCACTGAAAGGAAAAAAAATCATGATTCATGTCCGGTCCATATCTTTCTTATGGATTAAATTGGTAAGTTCCTCTTTTACACAAAGATTGCCCTGAGAGTGCTGTCCTGAGTGATGTCCTGAGAGTGTGTCATAACCTTGACCCAAGGTCATTTGTGCAAGTTTAAGGTAACTGAAAGAAAAAAATCATAATTTGTGTCTTGTACATATCTTTCTTATGGATAAACTTGGTGGGTTTACACAAAGACTGCTTATAACCCGAGGGTGTATCATGACTTCGACCCGATGTCATTTGTGCAAGTTCAAGGTCACTGACAGAAAAAAGTCCATAATTCGTGTCTGTCTGTATCTTTAGTTTTGTTTTTTTTGATTAGGCTTCACAATAGTTTAATTCATAAAAGTATATAATGAGCAATTACATTTGCACTAAAAATGTTTCAGCAATTCTCTCTTCTTTTAGATCCATGAAATATTCATGATTTGGCAACTTCTCTGAAAAACCCAGCGGGAGGTATTCGTCCCCTTTGAACAGTTCTAGTTAATCCTTGTGACAAAACCTTTCATTTGATATCAGGAACTTTTACCCTTTGACCTTGGAATTTGACCTACTTTCAAAAATTTTTAACCTCTGCCATAACGTTTGAACGGTTAGGGCTAGGGCTTCCATACTTCACACATGTAATCCGTGTGACAATAGACCTTTCTTAAGAAGCCAACAACTTGGACCCTTGGACCTTGGAGTTTTACCTACCTTTCAAAATCTTATCCTTAGCCATAACTTTTGAACAAGTGGTACTAAGGGCTTTCATATTTCACAATTGCATTTCCTGTGAGAAGAACCTATTTTGGGTACCAATATATTAAATTTGCATTTAAGAAAAGTTTAATTTTCGCTATGTTGCCATACGGGGAAATCAGTGTTTCACAAACACATCTTGTTGCAACTGCAATTGTATCGTCAATCTAAACAACTCTAAATCCAACTGTTTTGAAACTTTGAATGAAAAATGAATGTTAAACTTACTAGTACATATTAACCCCGTTTACTAACTAAATATGACTTGTTATTTTAAAGATTTTTATGCCCCCTTAAACGAAGTTTCCGTCCGTCCGTCTGTCTGTTTGTCCGCAAAAACCTTAACCTTGCCCATTACTTTTGACTGGTTGTGACTATGGCTTTCATATTTCACATGTGTATTCCTTGTGACAAGAGCTTTCTTTGGATGTCACCAAATTTGACCTATAGACATTGACCTTGGATTTTGACACACTTTTACACAAAAATTCCAAACTTTTACTTTGGTCATTACTTTTGAACAGTTGGGGCTAGGACTTTCATGCCTCACATAATATTATGTATTCTTTGTGACAAGACCTTCCATTAGATACCAACAACTTTGACCTTTTGACCTTGGAGATTGACCTTCTTTTAAAAAATCTTTAACCTTGGCAATAACTTTTGAACGGTTAAGGCTAGGCCTTTCTTTAGAAACCAACAACTTTGACCTTGTTGAAATGTGGAAAAAAACAACCTTGACCTTGACCCCAGAGTTTGACCTACCTTTAACCTTGGCCATGACTTTTGAACAGGTGGTGCATGAGAGAGTTAAAATTTCACATTTATATTTCTTGTGAGAAGGCCTTACTTTGGGTATCAACATGTTTGATTTGCATTTGAGAAAAAATTAACTTTCTCTATGTTGCCATACGGGGACATCAGTGTTTCACAAACACATCTTGTTAATAAAAGTTTTTACCATTTTTCCTTAAATCTCAATTATAAGAAAGCAAACTTTATGTCTGATGACAATAATTTAGCTACACAAATGAGTCCTATCGTTTTCAGTTTTTAAGCCTTTTCAAAAGATGTAATTTTAAAGGGCAAAATAATGCCTTTTCAAAAATCATCAAAAGGACTAATTACATTGCATTATTATGCCTTTTTAAAAGGTGCTACATCTTAATTGAGCAAGACACAATACTGCTCTTTTCTTTTATCATGTGTTTCCCCTTTAAGGAACTATGCATTTTTTTTTTTACATGTAATACCTCCGTCTATTCCCCATAATTGAATATTCAGGGGTACTAGTATATAATTTTTGCCCTATCCATCTGTCTGTTTGTCTGCAACAACTTATGAATTGCCCATGACTTTTGATTAGCTAGAGCTATGGCTATATTATTTCATTTTACGAGAGTTTTCATTGTAAAAAGGCTATTCATTGTGTAACAACATATTTGACCTCTTGACCTTGACCTAATTTTGGAAGTATTTACCAAACTTGAACCTGGTCTCAAAAAGTTGGAGCTAAGGCTTTCATATTTCATGTGTGTATTCACTGTGTGAAGATTTTTCAATGGGAGTAAATATTTTTTTACCTTGACCTAGCAGTTTGATTTTTTTCTCAAAACAAATTTTAACATCGGCTATAACTTTCGAACAATTGGTGCTAGAGCTTTTATATAATTTCAAATACATAATATTATATATTTCATATGGGTACCATTAATATTGACTTTGACCTTGGAGTTTGACCTACTTTTAAAAAAACTTAAACCATGGTCTTTACTTTTGAATGGTTAGTGATCGGACCTTTATACATCTATTTCAAATTAAAGTTACATTAATTGAGACAAATTCTTTCTTTTGATTAATTTTTTGTTAATCTATTGACCTTAAATGGCTTAACCTTGGAGCTTGACTTGCATTTGAGAAACTCTGATCTTGGCATCAAGCTGTCATAAGGGGGCATCAGTGTTTCACAAACACATTTTGTTGTAGTCTGCACTATTTTCAATGTAAAAAGCTACAATTGTACATAATTAAGTTACTAGTCTTTTTGCCTCCAACCTGAAGACTTGCAGCTCTTTATGAAAGAAATCTCAATCGTACATGAGACTCTGAGAGGTATTTTTCTGCCCTGAATCATTTTCTAGTTAGAATATATCAACTTTGCTTTGGGCCTGCACTTACAAAATGTCAGTATAAGGGTCAATTTAAGAGACAATTCATATCTTTATTCCAATTAAAAAATCAATTTAAATTTTACAAATTTTATTTGATCATTTCACATGAATTAAATAATGAACTGAATTGTTTCAGCCAAAAAAATATCTAAAACGTCAATTGCTGTACATAAACACAAAAGAGCTGAACATTGTAACATAAAGTCAGTAAAATGTGGCATCTGTAGAACTCCTCAATCATGGGGGGACTGGATACAGATGAGAAGGTATTCTTTATCTAAAAAAAAATAGAAAATACACATTTAAATTACAAGCTTGACTGACCATTCGATGAAATTAAACTTTTACAAGTGTCTAAATTTTACATATTTATGGACACTTTACGGGAAGCATCTCTTGCATACAGTGGACATTCAAATAAATTAACAAGTGACCATGAAAATGGTCTTCTATGTAATAATAGCAGATAATTTAATACATGCATGGAAATAGTAAATGTTAGAACAAATTCAACCAAATGCAGAATGTTATCAACTACTTTATGTTAACTCTAGCAAAGCCATGAATATTGTTTGATCCTCTTGAACCTCAGTATCAAAAACTAAGATGAAAAAATCATGAATTTAAAGGTTAAGATATAAACAATATATACCCAACATACAAACAAATTAATGTAAATATATCACTCGTAAACCATATACAGGTTAATAATAACAATCAAATATGAGTTACCTGTATAATAATGTGGCAAGAAAAAAATCTACTGAATCTCAGTATCATTGAAATGATTCCAATATTAAAATACCATACATCCCAAACCATGTGCAACCTCATTGGATAATACTAAACTTGATCAAAATCATAATTACTGTGGGGTTGTTTTGGGGGAGTGGGAGTTAGTTCTTTTTTTTTCTTACATGTTTTGTTCTGATTTTGGCAGAAACGGGCTACGTTAATTGACAATAAAAATCAAAGTACTGTTTTCTCATTTTCAACACATAATAATGATAACCAATTTAATTGTCGAGAAAGAAATTTAATAACCAATACATCTGAAAAGCAAAGAAAACTATTCCACCTTTTTCCTTTGAAAAAAAAAACATGATGCATTCATACATGATGCTCATGTATGGGTTTGGTAACTAGTTTCCCTGGTCCATTTATGGATAAATTGACTCTAATATGAGCTAGCGGTGCAATTTTGAGGTAATTAATTTCTTATGCATCTTCTTCCTACTGTTCTCAAACTTTCATTCATCACATTGAAAAGCATTCTATGTTTCTATCATTATCTAAATACAACACTCAACAAAACAGTTTGCTATCACTAAGTATTGTTAAAATAACAACGTTAGTTAACTTATTAAATGTCTGTTATGATTGGCTATTTAAAGTAAGCTTTAATTAATTGTTCCTTGTGTATTTAAGTGTGATTTTTTTTTATATTTATTTAAAAGCAATAAATGAAAAACTTGAACCTCTAAATTAGCCAAGGATTAAGCTTAATTAAGGTTTAATGGAAGCTAAAAATTGCACAACACACTTTCGTAAATCTTAAAGATATGATATTCTCTAGTTTTGAAATGAGGTTGATTTGAATCCTTAGTTTGTAATATAAAATAAGACACAAAGAGCTAAATAAATCCAACATTACATGAACTTACTTGATCATTAATGCGATTAAAATTCAAACATTTGAGAAGTGATTTTTTTCCCCTACACTTAACTAAAGTATGGATCAAAGCAGTTGAACTTGAAGCCAAACAAGAAAAGGGTTTCTAGTGAATGCAAACGAAAGCAAAAGATGAAAGCTAGGGCAATGTATCAGATTCCATTTATTAGAATGAGCAAAATTATCTGCAAAAAAAATAATAATAACTGAATATTTATTTTGATAGGAACAGACATAATAGGCTAGTATTCTATGTTTTCACAACACTCTTTGCCTATTCTGAAGATACAGCACTTTTCACAATGTATATCTGGCTTCTACTGGTTAGGGAATCATGTTCTATGTGGCTTAAAACATTTTACAGAATATTTCAGTCAGTTCAAGCTAAAGTGTAATGCTATATGGATGAAATCAGGCCTGCTCCACAATCAACAAATACTCAGAGTAAAGACAGCAAGATTTTTTTTTTGTTGGGGGGGGGGGGGGTTCCTAGATTTTCAATCTTTAATTTTTTTAATGATCTGATGTAATTTCACTGAACATGAGAGGTAAAAAAAAAAAAGGAAGGGGAGAAAGAACATTTGGTGTCTTTACCCTAAGTATAAACAATGTGAAACACTGAATCAATTTTCATTGTACCAGATATGGTGATGAACATCCAAAGGGAAATAACTCAATTACACAGCATCTGGATTCTGGATAACTATCAACAAATATTCATTTTCTGTTTGGAAAAAAGAGAACAAAAAAATATATTGAATGTGTTTGACTCTTTTAAAAAAGTGATTTTTTAACAAATATTTATACCTGATAATCTGCCCAAAGTGGAAGTTAGTAAATATGCTCTAACTATAATAATATCACAATATGATTTTTCTTTACAATGGCATGTATAATTACTTTAAGGAATATTTTAAGCATTTAAAAATATTTATTTTCACAAAAAAACTAGAGCACTATACAGCAACAGACCTTCACCAGTCAAAACACTCTAGCTGCTTCTAACAAGTAAATGTATTTCTGTGATACAATGTGACCTTCATTTTTTGAGTTTTATTGTCGGGTTGGTCACGTGATCAAATCCCATAAACACTTCATACTTTATATTTGCCTGATTATTACCGTTAACGTGTGAAATGCCCTAATTTTTCATGTATTAATCCACTGCGCGTGACGTCAACAATGTGAGTATTTACACAGTTATAAAAACGCTTGCCTTTAGTAGTGTTATACAAAGTAAAACATTTGCAAATGTAAATATTTTTAGATAACCAAACCCTTTAAGTGCCTTTTTACGGTGCTAACTAGAAAGAAATGTTCTCAAAATTTTTTTCTATCTTTATAAATTTGGTAGAAATCTAAAATGTGTGCATGTTTATATCACACCAAGTGCTTTTAAATTTTAAGCAATAAAACCTTGCAAAGCTTACTAAATGCTACAACCAAAATACAAACACACTTCTCACTCTAAAACATGCTAAAATTTGTCCGAGTTTAATTACACAAAAACGGACTTTTGAATGCAGCAGAAGTATTAAATTCAAGTGTTTCTGCTCATCATGTGATAAAATCTTCAAATCATGAAATGTGAATATGTTTTCAATGTTTTCTATAGTAATTTGGGTAAGTCTATGTTATTCTTTGAGATGTCAGTTTGAATTCCAGAGATAATCATTTGAAATTATATGATGGGACAAAAACATAGCAATAGAACATTTTTACCATTTATAAGTGGTTTTTAACTTCAGCTGGATAAGTAAGACCGATCAAAAACAAATTAAGGACCGATTACTATCTGGTTCTGTGTGAAGATGATCAATATGACCGGTAAGTGTTGATCAACTTTAGCTGACTTGATTAAGTTGAATTGGTGAAATTTTTGAGGAAAATATTTTTGACACCCAAAGACTTCCCATAACATACACAGCACAAAGACTTTCATCTCCATTACTTTAAAGAAAGTAACCCCTTTCCTCCCAAAACAGGATAAGTTTACATTGTATTTCAATCTCAATAAAAATTTATGTGCAAATCTCTTCACTTTCCTCTCTTCATCAATTTACAACATGAACCATGCCTCCCTCAAAAATATACAAACAACCATAACAACCAACACCCATCATGCCAACACAATGTAAAACAACCAGGCAAGCCACAACTAAAACAATAAATATCAAACTGACCTGGGGCAACCATAATCTCATGCTTCTTTGACCTAATCCTAAGGAATGTCAGGTCATTGCCAGGGTCAATATCTCGAACTGTACTCCTTGCTTTGGCTGCTAACTGACTGATCAGGCCTGCATACTGGACTGTTGTGGAGTTATCTAATGTACTTCTAATGGGGATTCCTGTGAAAGTATTATTTTACATGAATTATTGAAAACACCAAGCATAAATGTGACAACGTTCTCTTACATCCAGCCTTTTACACGTGTGATACTCATTTGTAATAGATAATCAGTGTTCATATGTAAACATGCTTCCTGCAATATTTTTAAAATCTAATTCACATTATTCAAACATTGCTCTATACCTTCTGAATTTACTACAATCAGACCAATGACACCTTTGTGGGCCTGGATCCTTTTGAATGTTTCCTCAACTTCAGCCTGTAATATAAACACAGTGCATTGAATAAAACTCATTCCAATTATCACTAAAGTTCATTTCTATCATTATCTTACAACTAATAACACAAAATTAATAGTACTGCATCAAGATATACCTGAATATTTATAATGCAGCAGGCTGTGTCATTTTTCCTGTACATATAATCATGTGTTAAAAGTAGGGGATTCTAAAATGTTTTCTTGTTCAGGTCCAGTACAATCAGTACATTTAGCTAGTGCAAATTACCTATATAAGTTACCTACCTCGGTTCACATTTTATTTCAATTTTTTCTTTTTATGGAAAAGAGACAAAAAATCGCAGTTAAATGACTTTAAAAATAAACTTTAAAAAACATTCCAAAGCAGAGATAGTTTAAACATCGCTGTGTTTGGTCAATTTAGAGCAAAACATGCATTTCCATTATTTGGTTAGATGTACGTGCGATGAGTGACTGAATGATTACTTCACATTGTGCTGAATTCACCACATGTCTGTTAACCAACAGATGTGTGGACATATATTCAATTGAATTAATTGATAAAATTTTAAAACTTTGTATTATTCTTTTTACATTTCTTAAGAGGGAATTTTTCAAGAGATTGTTTTCAGATGAGTGGAAAGTTGAAAATGATCACTGCATCAAAATGATAGTTTTTGCACATGCTAAAAAAATGCTTTTTTATAGAAATAAATTCATTTGGTAGCTAAATAAAGACATACCAGAATATTTATAATACAGCAGGCTGTGTCATATTTCCTGTACATGTAATCTTGTGTTAAAAATAGGGGATTCTAAAATGTTTTCTTGTTATTTTACATATCTTACCCCCTAATTTCTATTAATTATCATGTTGTCAATATAAAGTGTTGATTTTCCAGTTTTTAAAAATAATATTACTTGAAAATATTTGCATGTTAGTTAGCATCCACCCATGATGAGAGTGGAACTGTGGAATGGAAGAAGAAAAATCTAGTATATCATGCATGGAATAAGGAAAACAGCCAAATAACTGAAAAAATTAAACGTTAACAGTAATAACTAAACAAATTCAACATTAACAGAAAAGTCGGTGTTGATTTTGGTTACTTACCATTGTGTTTATGTGACCAGCAGGTTCTTGTCAAAAGTTGTCGTTGCTACGGTGTCTCGATCATGCGCACTGAAGATATCCGGTTATGAGTCAGTGGAACCTTGAATGCCGATCCCGAATAGAAAAGTTTTCTTGTCATTCGGCAAGTGAGTGAGTTTTGTGGGGGGTTTTCTGGAAACTCCGAAAATAATAGGTTATTTCATCTCTGTGATTCGCGATTCTTTTTTGTACTTTTTTTAAAAATTGCGCTAACATATTTTAACATTATGTGTCTTGGGAAAATATAACTATAAAATTTTAGCTATGTGAAAATAGTCAAGTCCGCATGACTTTTTTTTTAGGTGATCCAAGATTAGTTAGAATAATCTAACTGTGTCTCGGTACAGGCCCTCACCACAGAATAATCTAACTGTGTCTCGGTACAGGCCCTCACCACAGTTAGAATACGTCACATTACTTGTAATGTTTGCAAATCGGGTGAAACGATTTTGAAGAATATAAAATGATTTGCACTGGGAATAACTACCAAAATAATCAAAACAAACCTTCTTGAGATTGCTTATGCCTTTTATCCCAAAAAATAATCCATATAAGTACGAAAATCAAATTAATTTTCTTTACGCTTTTCTTTGACAAATTACCTGCTATGTTTACGCGCGCTCTCTAGATTGTTCCTAGTAAATGCACTACTGATTATAGGTCTTGGGAAAACATGGAAAATATAATAATATATTATAAAATTTTTTAACGTTAATACGTGAAATATTATTTTAACGATAGAACATTCTATCTAATCCAAGATAAACGGCATACAAAAATGTTTACAATTAATATGCTTTTGTCGTGCGGGTCATCTGAGTGCAAAATAACTTTTTTGCATACCCTTCATGTAAATCTAAGTTTATATACGATTTGAATTTCAAATGTGATTTACTAATTTTTACATATTCTTCATATAGTTGTTCAGTGGTTCCATGGAAAGATTGGAAACCACGGGCACTTGGGAGGGGGGCTGGAACACCCCCTTTCAATTTTTTCTTTTGAAATCTAGGGTCGACACACCTTTTTCCTATTTTGGTAGTCTTATATGCACTACTTACTATCGATAATGTAACCCATTTGTCTTTATTAGCCGTTTTTGAATACTTTTTACACCATTTTCGACTTATTCATAAAAGAGAGTCGAAAACGAATCGATATACTAGTACAGTTAATTCTCGATAAACCGCCACCTTTTGTAATTTAGAAGTCATGGCGGTATAACGAATTTGGCGATGAATTGAATTTCCCATCGTTTAGGAAACCATATTACCGTTCTTAGAAATACAATTTAGCGTTTCTATTCTCATTATTACATGTACATGTACATATTAAAACATATTTCTAAGTTTTAAAATACTTCAAGTAATTTTTTATGTACAATTTCGCTAAAACAAAATGTGCAGTTATGAAATAAAGACAAGCACATGTGGATGCATGTAAATCTGCTTGACTGATATTGAAAAAAAAATGCTGGGTGATTGTGATATATCGCCGATAATATGTAAAATGAATTCTTGAATAAATTCATTGTTTAAGGCATCATTGTTAATAAAACGTTCACAATTTATACCGTATAATTATTTTTTAAGCAAATTTTGCATTGTTTAAAGCAGAGATCATCAAAATAATATCGTTATCTGTGTTCTTAAACAACGACCGCCTTCGTGGCAAAGCCGTCACTAAATGATTTTTATTAAACAGAAAACAAAATTATCATAACAGTTCATGTTAAAATCATTGTTTATTTAATTCTTATTTAATTATTTAATTGCATGTACCTTGCCTGGCTTTGCATGCTTTACAACAGGGATAGGTCAACCAATTAGCCGCGCTTCACTGACCACATGCACCTGTGGCGGTATATCGCCTAATTACACTTAAAAATGGACGTTTGTTGTGAAAAAAAGGTGGCGGATGGCGGTATGCGAATTTGGCGTTATAAAGAGAATTTTATATAGCAGGAAAAACGTTCTTGGCAAATCATGGCGGTATAGCGAAAATGGCGATGAATCGAATGGCGATAATTCGAGAATTGACTGTATATAAAAACTGAAAGTATAGAGACAAAAAGGGAGCTACACTATCGATATCAAGTAATGCTTAATGACCACCCAAATATGAAAAAGATGTGTCGATCTCAGATTTAAAACGGAAAAAAATGAAAAGGAGGGTCCAGCCCCCAAGTGCCTGTGATGGAATTCAAACCATTTGATAAATAATTTCAATTTTATTTTATCAATTGATTCAATAAACACGTTTGCATAAAACCATACTATTTTGTTCCCGTCATTTCTAATGTCTTACATTTTGCTAATTCAGAATTCAGAGAAAGAGAAAACCAATACGTACAAGCCCTCCCTGTCCCCGTTTAAGCAAAAATGAGAAGTTTGAATTGCTTAGATTGGTGTTAGTGGGGGGGGGGGATCCCTCCCCCAGATTTGCATAATTATTAAATGTGTGTACCGATTCAAAAAAAAAAAAAACAAAAACAAAAACAAACAAATACCAGTATATGGATGTATAGATTTGATTGCTTATTCTTTAAAATGTGTACAGAATCAGACTGTAAGAATGTTTGTATGAGTTTGTACAGTTACATTACTGTATAATGATTAAGTGTCGAAAAGCAGAAAGCTGGACACAGTTAGATATAGACAAACAGATGTAACATGTTTAAATTTTATTTCATTTTTTTTTTAAAATATGATAGTACACTTTATTGCAATAAAATATTTATATGCAAACAACACTCCTAATGGAATAAAATCTACTTTGAAGAGAAAAAAAATGCAAAAAAGCTATAATTGTCAGCAGATCAACATTTGAAAATGGACGGAATGTTTATATATCTAAATAACAAAAAAAAAAATGATTTACAAATATATCAACGTCTATACTAAACACAACATTAAGCAGTATGTTAACTTTTAAATAAATTCAACATATTCAATGCATAAAATTACAGCAGTAGATTTTATTTTATCATTCAGTGAATGTTCAACCAAATTACTAGTATTCATTTCGTTGTTGATCCTTGTCCAGGTTTACAGAGATGTGCACCTGTGACCTACAGTTATATGTGTGCACCTGTGTCCTATAGTTAGGTATGCACCTGTAGTTAGTTTTTACAGCCACCCCTGGAGCACACCTCATTCAGCACCTGATGGGCCTCCTTCACACCTTTAGATGCAGCATGTTGAATCAGCTTGTGAGCCTCTCTACAAATATACAACTAAATTTCTTAGGAAAAGGCATCGTTGCAAACAATCTCTTAAATGTACAGTCCACTCCCATTTGCAGAGAGCTTTACATGCGGAATCAGCACGTATTGCTTGAGCTGATAAAAAGATGGAGGGTATTTCTTCAAATGAAAATATATTCATGTATAGTATAAATGTAGTATTACATGAAAAGTACACTGTCAATCATCTGAGCCCTTACCCCGGTCTGAGGCCGGACTTGTAGCCCTTCAGGTGACCAATGGCCAAATTATAAGCTGCATGGGGATGGCCCTGGTCAGCAGCTTTTCTGCAAGTACGAGAAGAATGTGTATTTAATTTTTAAAGTTTGAATACATATAGTTTTTACAAAAAAAGAAAAAAAAAATGAAGTATTGAAGAGCTGTCGCCAGTTTTCTGGAATATGGTAAAAACTCACTTGAAATGTTCCATGGCTTTCCCTATGTGCTTTTCCACACCCTTTCCTTCAATGAAAAGAAAATTATGTATTTTGCATTTCATTGCGTATTTATGGGCCTTGAGACCCCATCACTGAGAATCAAGGACCCTCGGCCCTAGTAAATTGGTAAGAGGAGCAAGTTATGCCATAGCAGTCCTAAATACCTGACGTTTTCCATGCTTTATCATAATTTTGATTTTTTACTTGCCTGGCATGTAAAACATCAAAATCGTGATAAAGCTTTGAAAGCGTAAGATATTTCGGACTAGTCATGTCAAGGAACCCCACCCCCATCTCACCCCAATAATCTTTCCTTAGCTAAAACTAATTTCACCAGCTTGCATTTCTTTATTTTGAATACAAAGTTTTTACTGCAGTAGAACATACCATGAAGATACCTCTGTCCAATCTGATGGTTTGCACTTGGATACCCCAACCAAGCGTAGCCATACGTCACGTTGAAGTGGAGATGGTCGAAATAATAGTAGGCATAAAGAGCGAAACTCAGGGTAGAAATCAACACCACCGCCTGTATAAAAGAAAATAATAAGATTATGCTTGTACTTTCGTTCTAAACATTTATTGGAATAAAAATAATACTAGAGCTTTCGATTGGCATTCAGAGAGTCTTGTACTTAAAAAAAATTATCCAAGAGTTCTTCTAAAATCTGTTTATTTTCTGCTGAAAAAATAAACAGATTTTAGAACTGTTCACATGACATTTGAGGTCTTTTATCCAGTGGAACTTTGAGATCGGTTTCTATTAATTATAAGTTCACTTCAGACATTTTTTGTATGTATGTTCACATCTTCCATGCTTCCAGCACTATATACGTATTAAATATTTACTGATCAATACAAAATAAAAACATCATGATCACAGTTAATAAAACCTACCTCAATAACTTTGACATAGAGAGGATCCGGTTTCTTTTTCCTGGCCAGGTAGACTTTACCGCCGTACGGCAGGTCTGGGTCCCAGTCGGACGCCTCTGATTCCGGGATCAGTCTCTGTCGCAATCCAGCATCCGAAGCCGCCATATTTAAACAAATCGATCTCCACGTTCAGTTCAGAGCGCCCTCTCTAGTCAATAAAATGTGTACCCACTTCAGTATTATTTTGTATGATGAACCAAATCGATTCATGGATCAATAAATTATAAATAATTAATGACACAAATGATCGATGTTGGGTTATGTTTAGATCTAAATGTTTCTAAATTTTGCGATTAACTGACCCCCCCCTTCCACCCCACCCCGTCCCCAGAAATCAACTCGTTTAAAAGCTTTTGAAAAATTTATCTAGGCCTATAAACCTGACTGTTAATTATAAATAGCAATTTCAGGTAAAAAGGCGTAATTTCAGGTAAAGCTAAATAGAAAAAAAATATCATAGGAAAGTCAACAACTTCTATGCTATTTTCACAGCTAGCTCAATGAAACTTTGCCAAGTTGCAATAGGCATCAACAAACCAACCATTTTTTCACTTAAATGATGGGGAGCTAGCTGGATGCGCGCCTCTTATCATTACTTCCTTTTCTACATGTCTATCAACAAAAAAGATTTTTTTCTTTAAAAAAACCCAAATGATATTCAAAAATGATATATGCAAAATTAAATTATAATCAATACTTACAGTTGTAAAGTACACTTAGATAAAAAGGAACTTGAAAAGATGGGTGAACAAGGCTTCCGTGTATAAAAACTCAAATCATGAATTTAAAATGCAGAGTAAAATTATCATTGTTGATATTTTTTCATTTTATAATGATTTAATTATGGTTGTAACGATGTATTTTATTGGATAAAAATTATTTTATATCGTATAAAATGGGTTGCCTACATCACAATGACTTGCGTCAAAAACGTATCAATATGATTACATTCAAATTTTGCACAAATTGAAGTCATTTTGTTAGAACAACAATCTTTTTTTACTACATCAAATGAATGAAAATTAAATTATAAGCAATGAATTTAATAGCTATTTTATACGGTATAAATTGGGTTGGAACAGTTTACGGAAACTGCCCCAACCCAGTTTATACTGTATAAAATAAATGAAAAATCTTTTATGAGGAAAATTTTGTGCTAATTGACGACCAATCATATCCTTTTTTACCTTCTTTACATGTAGCTGTACACGTGTACATGTATGCTATTTCTTAGGCAAACAATTTTGAACAGTCTCTGTGATATTTTAGTAAATTGTGGAGACTTTATATAAACTATCCTTAACATCAAAGAAATATTATAAGATTTTTAATATAAGTACTTTAATTACTAATGGAGAGTCTTTTTGTTTTTTCGGGTGTGTGTGTGTGTAATTTTTTGTTTAATTAATATTAATATGGAGATCTATATGTACATGAAACCAATTTCGAATCTCAATTTTCATTCGGAATAATACCTATATATTTTTTTGTCTCACTTTTGATAAATTATACATTGTAAAGTCATATATCAGGGACCTCTACAGGTTCCTTATATAGCCTACATGTAATATAAAATTTATAAACTTGTAAGTGTCAAGAAATTTATCTTAGATGACAAATAAATTATAAATCATATAATAAACTTGTAAATAACACCCCCAAACACAACCCATTCCATGGTTTATTCAAATGTTTTACTTGAGCTGAAATGTTGCGTGCAAGTGCACTCGGCTTTTTTCTGATGATAGGTGGGGGAATACCTAATTGAAGACCTACAGGTAATTGAAGACCTACAGAAGACCTACGGAAGACCTACAAAAATGTGGGATATATACAGCAAAACTGATATGATATTCTGATTAAGCATGTCCTAAATATATAATATACATAAAAAAGTTTTATGTAAAGAGTTTTTAAAGTGTATTTTTTAAGCTCGGTAGGGGGAACTATTTCTTCTCTCAGACGACCTACAGCAAGACCGATAACTCGCGTAAATAACAAATCAGCTGCTCACCAAAACATGCCAAGAAAATGTAATTATCAGGAAAATATAATTAAATTAATAATATTTATGGACGGGAACAATCATTGGAGATATTTTAGATAAATACATCAAAGATGCAAAAAATAAAATGAAATTTTCAGTTAGATTAAATTCTATTTTGTTAAAAAAAATAGTTATTAAAATCAGTAGAATTTTAAAACTTTATAAAGCAGACATATACACTGTACATAATTTATAATACTATCATATGATCAATCATAAAATCATGATAAGTATATACACATGTATATATGCAATATTCAGTATAATAATTCCATATGTGTTTGAATTTGAAGTAATTTTTCAACAAAAAGAACAGACACAATCACTTTCAAAATCTTCCGTTTTTCCCCTAGTCAAAGCATCATAATTTTTATTCAAAATGTGGATGCTTTTCTTATTAAAATTAAAAAAATATTCAAAACGTAATTCCTTTTAATTATTTTCTGAATAAATGGACAATGATTTAATTTGTTTATTCTTGCTAGCATGTTTAAGATGTGTAATGAAAAAATAATTTTTTTTAAAAGATATCTTTACTCTGTTGACTGCAAATTAACATTCATCAAAGCAAGTGGGGTGTGTTGATAATTGCAATCAAAACACGGATATATCACCCCTCAGGGTGCCTGTGTATACAACACATTTGTGAAGATCGAAGCCCTTAGTTCAGAGTAATATTTCTTAATATTGAGACAAATCCACAGCATACCTTTCAATAATTTAAACTTGAATATTTAATATTTATCCCATAAAAACATATTAAAAGAATTACAATATTTATTAAATATTTTCAAGTAGAATATTAATTTGATAAATGAAAAAATCATGATAATTATTTATATTTTTAATTTTTATTTTCATCAAATTCATAATCCAGATTATTTCTTTATAATATTTCATAATTGAAAAACTCAACAATATCATTTGGGTTTTTTAATTTTTTTATATTCATATTCTTCCTATAAACTTCACATTATAAACTAGTGCTAATTGTAACGGGGACCGTTACAGATGTTCCCCAAACGCTCCCCAACTCCTTTTTGGTGCCATATTCCCTGTAAGCTTCATTATATAAGACAAACTCTGTGCATTTTGACTTTAACAACGTTTTCTCAGAAGGATACTAATTATATTCAAATTTTACATTGCACTCGTGCGCATGTGAATGCATGTCCGTTATGATCATATCATCTTGTCTACACTATCTACATATTTTAATATGCAATATATTAAAGCATTCAGTCCAAAAGTATGAAAAATCACTCTTTCAAGTGTAATTTTCATTTCACTCGTAAATGCACGCACGTGCGTGCACGTGCATGATGACCATACCTTCTTGTAGGACTCCCTTACATCTATCTATATTCTAAATCCCATCCTGTTTGGTTGAAAAACAAGGGAGTTATAGCCATTTCAAGTTTAAGCCAATCAGATTGCAGCACACGTGCATGCGCGTGTTTTCATGTTTTTTTTCTATATCATATTGTAGGATATCCTAATGCATGAAAATGTTTTAAATTTCAAAGCATTTCGTCAAAAAACAAAGTAAATGTAGCCATTTAAAGTTTCAGCCAATCAGATTGCAGCACGCGGGCATGCGCAAGCTTTCATGAAAATTCTTATATATCATGCTGTAGATCTTCATAATGTAGGTCTTTGTTCAAAATTTCAAAGGATTATGACAAGAAACAAGAAAAACAGTCAAAAAGTCCTGAAAAATCACTCTTTCAAGTGTATTTTTCATTTCATCGTTCCAAATGCACGCACGTGCGTGCACGTGCATGATGACCATACCTTCTTGTAGCAGTCCTTTATATCTATCTATATTCTCATTCCCATCCTGTTTGGTTGAAAAACAAGGGAGTTATAGCCATTTCAAGATTTAGCCAATCAGATTGCAGCACACGTGCATGCGCAGGATTTCATGATTTTATTTCTATATCATATTGTAGGATATCCTAATGCATGACTATGTTTTAAATTTCAAAGCATTTCGTCAAAAAACAAAGGAGATATAGCCATTTAAATTTTCAGCCAATCAGATTGCAGCACGCGGGCATGCGCATGCTTTCATGAAAATTCTTATATATCATGCTGTAGATCTTCATAATGTAGGTCTGTGTTCAAAATTTCAAAGGATTATGACAAGAAACAAGAAAGATATTGAGAATTTAGTTTTAGCCAATCAGAGCGAAGCGCACGTGCATGCGTGTGAGAGCTTACTTTTTTGACCATGTCTTTTTGTCTATGATTCTAATATATACTTATAATATGAGTTTCAAAGCATTTCATCGATAATTTTAATAGTTACGACTGTATCAATTATATTGGACAATTCTCGTGTTGCACGTGCGAGCTTTGCAAGCACATGTGCATGCACATGCTTTCATGATAAATCTTATATTACAGGCTGTAGATCTCCCTAATGTATGACTATGTTTAAAATTTCAAATGATTTTATCAAAAGACAAAAAAGATATTGAGAATTTAGTTTCAGCCAATCAGAGCGAAGCGCACGTGCATGCGCGTGCGATCTTGGTAGCTATTAATAGCTACGTAGGTAGAAATAGTCTATTTTGACCATGTCATCTTGTGCATACTACTAATATACCCTTACATTATAAGTTTTAAAACATTTGGTCACAAAATAGAAAAGTTACGGTTATATCCATTATATATTGGTCATTTTAAGTTTTGCACGTGCGCGCTCTTGCAAGCACGTGCGAGCAAAATGACCTTGATTCTCTACATAACATGCCTACTTACCCTAAAAAGGTTTCACCTAAGTCGGATGTGTATTTACAAGATCACTCGCGGACAAAATTTTCCCAGGAAGAAAAATAATAATAATAAGAATAATAATAATAAGAAACAGAGTAAAAACAATATGTTCCCCAACTTCGTTTGGGGAACATAATAAGCGTGTTGTTGTTTACACGACAAGTCAGCCAGAGTTATCGTTCTTGCCGTAGGTCGTCTGAGAGAAGAAATAGTTCCCCCTACCGAGCTTAAAAAATACACTTTAAAAACTCTTTTCATAAATTTTTTTTATGTATATTACATATTTAGGACATGCTTAATCAGAACATCACATCACTTTTGCTGTATATATCCCACATTTTTGTAGGTCTTCCGTAGGTCTTCTGTAGGTCTTCAATTACCTGTAGGTCTTCAATTAGGCAGGCCGCTTCAGACGGAAACGAATATTCAGCGTTTAGCCGCCATTCTTTGTTTTTGTTTAGCCTCATCACAAATCTACAGTAATCTGCCTCCAAGACAGATTTCAAGATGGTAAGTGAACAAAGAATATATATTTAGAATTATTTAAGTATCATTTTATATGCTAACTAAAAAAAAATTCGCATTGAAACATTGTCAATTGCATTAATTTGCAGATATTGAACGATTGTGGATAAATTTTAATTTTTCTTAGTTTTTGGTCAAATTGAATGCATATATATTTTGACAGTAATTGCAAACGACGACTTATATGCACACTTTGTAGAATTCTGATGAATTGCTTCAAGAGAGATGTATTTTTCTCTATTTAATATCTTTGCTCGAATTTCCTCGAATATCAGCTCTTTCTGCTTATTTCATTTATTTATAACAAGGGATAAGTTATAACTGTTCTAGTTGAAAACAAGTAGAAAAAGACAAGACGTAGACTTGATATTTTGATACATCTGGGTTAGAAACATTTATATTCTGATTATTAAGATCATACATCAGTTCATATAGGGTACAGTAAATGTAGAAGAGCAGGTCAAGAAAATGTGAGATTTTGCATCACAGAGTCAGTTGTATTTTTGTTTGCTAGTTATATCTCAAGTTTTATGATCTGTTATAATATAAAAAATTTGTTTCAGACTGTGGGGCGTAGCTCTAAGATGTTGCAGCACATCAACTACAGGATGCGATGCACCCTGCAGGATGGCCGCACATTTATCGGAACATTCAAAGCTTTTGATAAGCACATGAACTTGATCCTTGGGGATTGTGATGAGTTCAGGAAAATAAAACCCAAAAGTTCAAAACAGGGTGAAAGGGAAGAGAAGAGAGTGTTAGGGCTTGTATTATTACGTGGTGAACATCTCGTATCAATGACAGTTGAAGGCCCACCTCCTGCTGAGGTATGTAATAGACAACCTATACTTGGAGAGTCAAGACAAATTTAATTTTCAAGAAATCATTAATAGGTTACCATGTTTACTGTTGTTTTAATAAGTTAAACCAAATAAAATCTGTTGTAAGCATTAATTGCTTGACAAGTTTTAGTTTTCAATATTCTAGTTTAGAAACTTGAATTGAGCAAGTTAAATTCCACTTGATGGATGGAATTTATGTCATTCTCTCTGATTCATATAACAGATTTTAAACTAAGGTATGTTTATATTACAGGAGGGAGTTGCTAGAGTGCCATTAGCTGGAGCTGCCCCTGGACAAGGAATGGGCCGGGCTGCCGGCAGGGGTATTTCTGGACCTGGAGCCTCTGGTGGTCCAGGGTTACAAGGACCCGCCCGTGGAGTGGGTGGTCCCTCACAACAAATGATGGCCCCAGGAGGTGAGTTCAAATTTAGAGCTTTCAGTCATTTTATAGGGGCAAGTCACCAATTGAAGTAAACAAAAAAATTTCAAAGCATGTAGGCATACCTTGTAAGTTTCTAAAGGTTTTATATCTATTAAGGTGACATATAATGATATATACCAGTGTTTGAATGCTTTGATTTTTTTCAAGCCATTTAATCTCAGCACCATATTAAACAACCTTTGTCAAATCTTCCCCGTTCAGTTGTTGTATACCTCTCAAGAAATTCTTGATTATTTATGTGAACCAATAATCACTAGGATAACAAGAGATATTCTTTTTTTGGTGAAAAATGTATCCTATCAGTATTATGCTTTTCACTTTGAAATTTTCTTACATTTTCACTACATATATTTGAGTACTAAAGTATATTTTTGGATTAAGCAATATCTATTGCAGTTAGTTTGATGAGGACTGTGACGTGATTTTGTTTTTGTAGGTCGACCCCCAATGATGGGAGGAATGAGGGGTGGAATGATGCGTGGTGGACCCCCTCCAGGCATGAGAGGTAAGCTTAGATTTGTGAAATTTGTGTTGTATGACTTGACATACAGTTGATCATCAAACATAGTTAAACATAAAAATCTTAAAAGAAATTCATAACAGACTAGAAGACAAAAAGAAACTTTAAATAAAATCACCCCCCCCCCCATTGAAAATTAAAGAATGAATCCAATTCTAGCCCTGTTCATTCAGATAAAGATGTTCCTGAACTTTTCTTGGGAAAAAAACAAGGAATACAATCAAAATTGAAGTAGCTAATCTAATTGATGCTAGATATCTAATTACCCCTGGATGGACTGCTCAACTAGCCCTTAATGGAGAAACTATACCATATATCAATTGTAATGCAGATTGGTATTATATAAAGGACATCCAAATTTGTTATCTAACAATAAATATTCATGCTAGCTTTAAGGACGGGGGGAGGGGAGCTAGATTTGCATATGGTTCAAGATCAAGGTGAAAAAATGACAGACAAGTGAATTTTGCTGGTCACTTATGGACAAGTAGAAAAAAAATAATGTACATCCCTGCCTTCAGCTTAGCAGCAATTGTAATTTTGATCATGCCTTTGGCTATCATATGTTTATTATATGCCACATCCAGAAATTGAAAATCAAGCTAGATTCTAAATTATCTTATTTTATCATTGACCTGAAAATGCCTTGTGGTTTGGAGGCAGAAGAGGATTTGTTTTCTTTGTCATTGATATATTTTTACATCATTAATCATCAACTAACAAATCAATGTCTACACATTCCTTTACATTCTGGAATGTATTTGCTGCAAGAGAGATAACTCTCTCTACCCTGTTCTTTCTGTTTGCCAAACCAAGCAGAAAATATTATTGAATATGTCAATCCCAAACATTTTAATATAAAATTATAAATACACATTTTTCCACTTCTACATGTATATTCTTCAGCACAAAAATGTTAAGTTTATAAATGCCATAGATATGAAGAAATGACTATGTATTTGTTATATATAAAAAATGACAGCTTGATTAAGTAAACCATTGATAAAAAGTATTCTTAGTCATATTATCATTCATTGATCTACCGGGTAGTAACACTTGTAAAATATTTTTAGGCATGATTTTCATAATATCTGATGTTGTCACGAATTCCAGAGGCATGGTTCATGTACTTACACTGCCTCTGTTAAAATGGATTTGTATTGATTTTGAGAGCTGCTCTGACAGCCTCAGGGAGTGCAAGCTTTTCCTGTCCTCCTCTGAATCGAGCAGGCAGAACCCCCCTAGGCTTGGCAGATGTAATTCTGTAATGTTTTAATTTAGATGGAATATCCATGTACATACACAAAATTATTACATCTAGGTTTAACCATAATACCCCTAGGCTTGCTATTATTTATAATGGCCAATTCAGCCACCGGCAATGGTTACTGATGTATTTTCAAGGTAACATTGTTCATGTCAAAGAACTCTTGTTATTCAACAAAAATGTAGATGGATTTTTATCTCGAGAATACAGAAGCAGAAAAGTTTCCGGGGGCTGAAAAAATTTCCTGTAGTCAAAATTAAATTACACAAGTGATTAGACATGCCAACTCAAAACTTTATCTCTAGGACTCTTTGGCTTTTTTGTGGATTTATTTATCAGTCATTTCATTGATTTCAAAGACTTCAAGGGAAGTTTCATGACAAATACTTAACAAACATAATGTACCTTGTATTTATTTTCACTTTCAGGCCCTCCTCCTGGCATGGGACGAAGATAAAGAGACATATAGTGAAAGTGCGGAGAGGATGTGTGTGTAAGGGAGAGAGAGGAATTTCTACATTGATACAGACAACCAACAAACATTTTTCATCAATCATGAAGAAATCATTTGAGTTCATGTAATATGTTGTTTTTATGTAAATAAAACATTAAAAAAAAAACTTCATTGAAGTTGTGATCATTATGCATAGCACCAATCAACCAACAAGGGAGACTCAGGGTACTTGTATGTCTAATCATTTAAACTGTATATTGACACTATATATCAGATACTAAACATTAATGTTTTGTGCAAGGTCACAGGTTGAAATTAACTTTCAGTGTGTTTCACAACACTTTTTATCAAGTAAATACAGTGGACATTCAGATATCGGATGCTTCAGTATCCGGATGACTTTTCATCGGAACAGAATTTTTTAATGTTTAATACATTGTTTTGTTTAAGTGGTAATTCAGATATCCGGACGCTTCACATATGCGGACGAATTGACAAGGAACGAAAGCGTCCGGATAAATGAGGCTTCACTGTAGTTTCAAGACTTTGAAAATTCTACATAAAATTCCAAACTTTGAAAAGCATTACAAAGCTGAAATCTTCTCAAGAACCATTGGGCAATTAATCAGAAGAATCTGGTGTAGTGTAGATACTAAATTGTTCAAGTCATAACCCCTGGGGGTAGGTTGGGGTCAAATTATTAAGAACAGGGAAAAATCTGGTGAAGAACGGCAGGGCCAATGTTAATCAGGTGAGTGTTGTGGCCCATGGGACTCTTGTTTAGTTTTAAGCTGTAAAGCTATAAAATGGACCCTTTACTCACTCTGATGGTCTTAACATTCTCAAAATGTGTTTGAAACATTATGTGATGAGCTCAGGTATCATTTGAACTTGTAAGATATGTACTTCCGCACAGCAAATATGTAGCGTATTCCCTGGACAGCTCCCTGTTGTTCATGTGACTTTTATGCTCACCTGAGCTGAAAGCTCAAGTGAGTTTTTCTGATCACATTTTGTCCATGTCCGTTTGTAACCTTTTTCACATTTTCGACCTCTTCTCTAGAACCACTTGGCCGATTTCAATCAAACTTGCCACAAAGCATCATTGGGTGAAGGGGATTCAAGTTTGTTCAAATTAAGGGCCACGTCCTAATTCAAGGGGAGATAATTCAAAAATAGCGAAAATTTGGCGGCATGTTTTAAAAATCCTCTTGTCAAGAACCATTGTGCCAGGAAAGGTGAAACATCCTCAGGTAGTGTAGATTCAAGTTTGTTCAAATCATGACCCCCGGGGGTAGGGCGGGGCTACAATGACGATCAAAGTTTTACATAGAAATATATAGGAATTTTTTTTTAAAATCTTCTCAAGAATAGCAAAGCCATGATTGGTCATATTTATAAGGAATCATTCTCAGGTGTTGTAGATTCAGGTTTGTGCAAATCATACTCTCTCCCGTTTAAGGAATGGTTGGGACTACTTTTGGGTTTAAACTTTTCAATAATAAACTAATTTCTGCTTTTTTCCCTAACCACAGTGCTCAGGTGAGCGATGTGGTCCATGGGCCTCTTGTTTTAGCATTACGTTAACATTTTTGCCACAATCTCTGTCAAAAGAAGATAATATTGAAATAATAAGAATTATATTTTGAAAAATGTGAAGATAACGAACAGAGGTCGATCTTTAATAATCTTTCAAATCAACACGCATCTCTGGAAATCAGGTGCCTAGGAGGAATTAGCATCCCCTGTCATACCCACCGTGAACCCTGCGTATTGATTAGATAGGCTGAACATTCTATTGTCAATTCATAATTAAAACAGCATAATTCAGAGAATATGTGACCCCCGCTGCAGGAATAAAATTTAAAAAAAAAAGACTGCGCTGAGAGAGAGAGAGAAAGGGAGGGGGCTTTCAGAAGTGTGGGAGGGGCCATAGAGAGTTAAAGTAAAATTTAATTGCAAAAGCTTCTTAAAATATCGCCCGGAAATGAAAGTTTTACACACAAACAGAATGTATGAATCTACGACCTTGACTTTTGACCTCAAAATATAGATGGGATCTTCCGTTCGCCATAGGGAGTTGTGGTATAAAATGGCATTGCAGATGGTCAAAGGATTCTCGAGATATCACGCGGGAATGGAAGTGTTCAAACACAGCATTTTTTAAAATACATGACTTTGACCATTTGGCCTGAAAATCAATTTAACAGGGATCTTGTAAAAATTTCATTACAAAAGCTTCTAGAGATATTGCGTGGAAACCAAAGTGTTACAGACAAGTATAAAGACAGACGGGTGGACAGACAGACTGATATAATTTAGGTAGGAGATTTAAACACCATATACGTATAATTCAAATTTAGTATGTTACCGGTTTGTATGTTGTTTAACGTCCCTCTGGAGATTTTTTCACTCATATGGAGACGCCACCACTTCCCAAAGAGCTGTAAATTCTGTCCTATACTCGGCACTTTTTTGCGGCCATTGAACAGTAACGGATCTTTTTTGTGCCAGCACCTACTACGACACGGGACCTCGGTTTATACGGTCTCATCTGATGGACTGGTCTCCACGTCCCACAGTGCATGGTCGATTACCCGCGACGTAAGGTTCAACTCCTTACTCCGCGACTCTAGAGCAACGCTATAATCACTACGCAATGCGGGTGATTTCTCTAGTCATTAAGACATCCAAATATAAAACAGATGTGACAGACTCTGTATGTGGTTTCTTTATTTCAAATCTCTAATCCATTTCTTTTGAATGGTAATTTCTAGTGCTGACATATTTCCACAGGTACATCTTGTATCAAGACTTTCCCCTGGGTACCAATAATCTTGACTCGAGTTTGGCCTACCAGTGCTTTTGAAAACACTTGTACAAGACCATTTTTTTTTTCATCTCATTGCCTTGACCTCACAGACTGTGTACCGTTGGCGCTATGGCTTTCATTTTGTACAAGTGTACTCCTTGTGACAGGGCCCTTCTTTTGGTTCTCATACTTTTGATCTCGATGATCACCTTAGACTTTGTAGCATACCATAGATCATGGGTAAACTGTTTCTATTCCAATTGTAGCTTCTGGAACTATTCCACAAAATCAACCATAAAACCAGTCTACCAGTCTACCAGTATATATCTGTGGGAACAAACATCCGCATTGAAAAAAATATTTTACAAGAATTTTATACCCCTATGTTTTTCATATTTCACAGGTGTATTTCTTGTGACAAGACCCTTCTTTGGGTTCCACCAAATTTGACCTCTTGACCTTGACTTTGGAGTTTGACCTACTTTTACGAAAAAAACAACTAAGCTTTAACCTTGGCAATAACTTTTAAACAGTTGGAGCTAGGGATTTCATACTTGACATGTGTATTCATTCTGACAAGACCTTTCAGTTGGTATAAATATTTTTTGACCTCGACCTAAGAGTTTGACCCACTTTTGAAAATCTTTAACCTCGGTCATATCTTTTGAACAGTTAGAACTAGGGCTTTCATATTTCACAGGTGTATTCCTTGTAATAAGACCTTCCTTTTGGTACCAACACTTTTGACCTTGACCTTTGGAGTTTGACATCGCCATAAGCTGCCATATGGAGATATTAGTGTTTCACAAACAAAGCCTGTTCTTGGAGCTAAAGCGGATATCTCCCCTACCTCAATCAAACCCCTCATGGGCGTCGGAAGTAAATTGAAGGGGGTGGGTGGGTAATTGAAAGCCGGGGAACCAAACAAACAAAAAAGGTAATCCCCAATTTGAATGCATATATCATCTCTATCTTTGCAAAAAGAGCCCTCCCCCAGCCCCTCTAGTTCCGACTTCTATACCTCTAACCAACACTGAAGAAATTAATTCAAACTAAGGGTTTATAAGTAATGGACCGGGTATACATCGACCTTGACTTTCATGATATGACCCTGTATTAATAAAGGTGAAAAATATCCTTCTACTCCAAATTTCACCCTTTTCCCCTTTAATTCCAAACAATGATTTTCATCAACAACTATAGCATTACATTCAAATGGAAAATAGTTTGAAGTATGAAGTGTGGCTTATACTTTTTCAGAAATTAATTTTATGTCTAATCATTTTGTGAAGAAAATTTGATATGATTAATAGAAAGATCAATAATTTTTTTTTATCTCACAATAAAATTAATAAAAATATGAGATATATATGAAAATGATATTTACTATCATACCTATCTAATTCACACTAGAAAACATAACGAAGCTTTTTTAAAATCAGAATATCACATTGCTTTGTCTGTGCTTGTAAAATAAAATACATCCATATACAAGAGTTACCAATATCTTTCTTTTTTCTTTTTTGAGCATATATGGCGTATGTACAATGAAAATTATTGGACTAAAATTATTAGAACTCATTATTTGTTTCATTACTTTATATAAAGATAGAACTTTTCCGTAATTTACAAAATCTAAGTCAATTGCGTTATAAAGATATCAAAATTTAATTTGGATTCTTGGAATTTTCTCCGACTCGGAAGAAAATACAAAAGATTTAAATAACACATCACAGAGAAGGTAAAATCGTATTATTAGTTGAAACGAGGTGTTCTCCGTGTTCAGAATTGTATGAAAAGTTTTAATTTAAATGTATTAACTATATGTCTTTACTTAATTTTGTATTTTTCAAAAATATATTTTTTGATCACTTACGCCATATATGGCTTTAAAAAATTAACAGAAGAAAGAAACAAGATTTACAGATTTTTATTATATTCTATTTTAGTTTTAGGGACATGACAATACATAAACTTAAATGAAGAAACGAATAGTGGATCTTTTGAATTGTGCCTCCAAAACTACGATTTGGTGGTCAGGTAGGTTTGTTCCCGTCGGCCAGGGATTATTCATTTGTATAGCGCATTAAGGGGGTCTAGCCTTCTCACTTCCTGTAACGGTCATCAAACAAGACTCGCCACCTATGTGTATATACATGTATTAAGTACTTACGAAATTGTATGGATAGTCTCCTTTTCTTTGCAATAACTGATTTGTTATAAACTGTTGAGATGCCAGGGTGTGCAATGCAATTATGTTTTAAATAAAAAAAAATACGCTTAAGCATTAAGGCACGTTATCATAATACAAAAAGATACATAGGTTAACGGTTAACTTCCTGGATTACGATTTCCCGCCAGTATTTTACAGGTGTTGCCAATGTTTACACCTGGTCCATCATTAAAACAATATTTTATAGCTGTTAAGTCGCATTGTTGAAACCGTTCAATGGGACATTATTTGAGGGTAAACCACGGGCTGTGGGAAATAGGTACAAAAATATTTGCAAGCTTACACTTAACTATTTACTTTTATTTAAGTCGGTAAACGTCCTTTTGTTCATTTCATAACGCCATTATCGCCTGTTCACTCAGCATCTGTCAGTTGCCATAGAAAATGCCCTCCGGGCTTTTTATTCACTGCACAACACGCTACGTTTCTATGGAGCCAACAGCAATACGAGATCTCGCGCGAAATTGGATCTTGGCCCTGGGCTATACCCGGCAGTAAGAACGCGAGACAACTAAAAGCTCATTATACCAGGGATTTTATCAATAGGCGGCTTCGACTTCATACAGGCAGGTTTGGAAGGGAATTTAACAGGAACATTTGAAAGGTAAGTTTTATTTTGTTAAAAATATTAATAATGAAAAAAATATTTTTCTCATATACCTTTAGTTAAATTTCAGCAGTGTGATTTCTATATGGGTTGGTAATCGATCGTTTAATGAACTAAGTTTTCATTCATCAGTTCATGATAGAATTAACGGAACTTTTTTCTGTAATATTTGGTTTATTAAAAATCGTTGTACATAAAATTATTTTTCCATTCTTGTGATATATTTGCCCCGTACTAGTGTTTGTAGATTTTATTGTTTTACCCCCCAGAACAGGGAGATGACATCCCCTCATACCCCGCCAGTATCCTCCTCCCCAGCCACACACAATGGGCACTACCAGAAAATATCAGGGGTCCCCTGCCCCGCCACACCGACCCGATACACAGCTCCTGTCCACATCGATGTCGGAGGGGTCATTTACACATCCTCTCTGGAAACTCTCACAAAGTAAGTTCATGGATCCACCCCTTTGTAATCAAATTTATATATAGACCGAGTGCAGATGTGAACATGTCTATGAATTTTTAATGTTATATAATCAATGTCAGCGATTTGTAAGATTAAAGAACAGTGCAAGTATTACACTGACATTTTATTTTAAGTTTTTGTTACGTTTTTTATCAAAGAAATATTATGCAGTGAGATTTAAACCCAGATACTAGGCTTCTATATCTCGTGGTAGATTAGTTATTGTGTGTAAAACAGCCTCGGGCACACTTGGCACATGGAACAAAAACGAAGACTAGTCTTTTCTCCTTCCACTTGAGAGAACCCCAAAAGCTCTATACAAATGGGAATTTCTCCGGATCCGCCCGAGGCCAACAGCTTCACTTACAATATATGAAGTATTAGGGCATTGAAAACACGATATATTCTAAATATTTAAATTGCAGATTTAATGATTTCATAAAATATTGCCTGGGGTAGAAATTTATCAAAGTTTTTTTTTTTGGTATGTGGCGACCAGAAGAAAATCGAACAAGATCTGATTAAAGTTGATTTTGCGCAATTTCTCAGTTTATTAAACAAGTGTCGAGAAGCTTACAACTTGTGAAGACATGCTATAATTCTGAAATTACGAATTAGGGTACAAAATGACTAGTCATGCTTTATTCCTAAACGTTCAAGGAAAGATACCAATTAGTCGAAGATATTTAAGAATATTATTGCTCTTCTTAATATTAACCATTTATACATCAAATTTTCTATACAATGCAAGTTCTCACCAGTTTATGATACTGAAGAGAATAAGTATCTTTAACATATAGAATAAAGGATAACCTGTAAAGTTGTATAAAATTAAAAATCCTCGATATAAAATATAAATTACTAACTTTTATGATCATGTTTTAGAACTACGCTTCAAACTTTAATACGAAGTTGAGAAGTAATAACAGGACCCCCCTCTCTCTCAGAAGGGGGGTTTCAAATTGTTACTCTCGAAAAATTTGGTTTGACGACCATCCAAAGTCAGACCTCGAAGACCAAATTGGTTATTTTCTAGATCCTTTATGTGGTTCCCATAATTCTAATAAAGATATGGCAGTGTTAAATGGTTACAGTTATATAGGTTAAGCGAATATTGAAATTTTCAAGTCTTAGACGACAGGCCCAAAGAAACAGTGTTAGAAGTGTAACCCCCCCCCCCCCATAAAAAAAATCCCCAAGCACATATACCGCGTTCTACATGTTACCTGTTATGAAAAATTAGAAACATGCTAAACAATATTATTGTCATGTAACCATTTTCAACTTTAAGATTGAAAATTAATAAAAGACATCGTCATTCCTTGTGTCATCGAAGGGATGCAGAAATGCGATTAAAGTAGAGAAATACACTGCATACAGATGCAAATATGTTCCATTCTCAAAGAAACTCTGGAGAAAAAGATTCCTTGGGCGACTTAAGGTGTAACAATTAAATATCAAGCATTTTCGTCTCTTAGCATGAAATATTTTAGTACGATATGTAAAAGTCTAATATTAGAACTGAATTTTACCCCAGATTAGATCAAATTAAATATTTTTTAGACAATTTGACCGAGAATTTCCATCATAGATCTGAAAGTTGTGAAGCAATTAGAATAAACCTGAATTAAGGATTGTGCTTTAAAAAAAAACTTTTCAAATACATGAATTCAATTTTTTTTAAAAATTATTAAAAGATTTTTTACTGATGAAATATATTTTGGCATAATACTTAAAGGGCGTCATTGGCATAATGTCTGTCTTGAGATCTGTAGAAATTGAAAATGTCTTATGATTATAATTCATTGCACAACATGCCAAGGAAAATTCATAACTTTTCAGTAGCCAAGTCATAGTCTGTATTAAAGTAACGAAAAACTGAAACATCCCCTCGAGTGTAAACAAGAAAATCTGTTACAGGGCAGGAAAAGTAGTACCATTAAAGCTCTTATTTAAAACAGTCTTCAATAGATAAACGTTTTATTTTTCATTTGTATTTAAAATCCGTGGGCACAAACTTTGAAAATATCGTTTATGCCTGATCCTCGCTGGAGGGTGGTCGGGAATAATTAGATGAATGCAGCCTGTGTATTGGTAGCTGGGGGCATAAAACGCTCTTATTTCTAATGAAGTGGGCGCCAAAGGGACTTGGTCTTTTATGTAGGACGGAATTCTCTCCAAAACGTTGACTTTGACGATAGAACTGCCGAGGGCTTCGGCTTGTAAAGTTTTTTAATTGGAATTCGTTCCCTAAAAAACTGAATGCGAGGAGAGTCTATCACTGGAGGATAGACTTTAGCAGCACGCAGTTCTTGTAGCCATGGCGTGTGAAGAAAATCATGTCGTACTTTGGGCAAAGTTTTGTTTGTCTGGATAGACTATTATCTGTAATCAACATTAAGGGGTGTCCGAGCAATCAAATGCTATATATACCAGTAAACATGTATAATCGCCTTTCTGAGAGACAAAAATTCTTTCAGGCTATTTACGTATATATGTTCATTAGTTATACAAAAATTGGATAAATAGATATTAGCCAATATTGATATTTAAAATGGTCAAAAAGAAGGCATTTTTCGCAATTTTCTTTTTTTTTCTGACCATTTTCTCTTTCATATGAAGTTCCGTATCTGAATTTCAAAGTTTTTAAATAACTCGAAACTGTTGCTAAAATGCGGGATAAGTTTTATCATTATATGATTCTCTACCAAATCAAATACATCTATTTCGAACACTCCTTAAGGTTGTTTTTCTTATTCAGGTTTCCTGAATCCAGATTGGCCAAAATGTTCAACGGAAGTATACCAATCATTCTGGACAGCTTGAAGCAACACTATTTTATAGACCGAGACGGTAAGATGTTCCGGTACATCTTATCCTACCTCCGTTCATCCAAACTCATCCTACCAGAAAATTTCACAGAATACGACCAACTTCTTGAGGAGGCAAGGTTCTTTGACATAAAAGGAATCGTTAACCACATCGAAATAATGCGACGTGCAAAGAACATTAAACAAGAAAAGTCGGATTCCCATTCCGACAGCACGCCATCTCGTGGCAGTGGCGAGTACTGCGATTGTATTGCCGTGAGCATCAGTCCGGATTTAGGTGAAAGGATCTCTCTCAGTGCAGAAAAAGCGCTTATTGAAGAACTTTTCCCAGAATTAATCCCCGCGCTCATGGATTCGCGGAATTCCGGATTTAACTTGGACAATCGTTATGTGATTCGGTTTCCTTTGAATGGATTTTGCAAACTGAACTCAATACAAGTGTTACAGTCGCTGTTCAATGCTGATTTCAAAATTGTGGCGAACACTGGCGGAGGAGTGGAAGGCCAACAGTTCAGTGAATACCTTTTTTGTCGATACCGGAAGTGTTAGTGCTAGGAACGTTGGGAGTTTTTATTCAGACTGCGTGATATGGTATTAGGCGCATGTTTCATGTTTGTCTCTCTTTCATAGATTCACACTGTACCAAATTCTTCATATTGGAGCTAAAAAGGAACATTTTGGTACATTCATTAGTTGCATTTGAATCATTTTGAAACGTTCATTCTAACATCGTTGCCAAAGACAATTTGTCCCATTTTATACACGTGCATGTTGATTTATGTTGTTTTTAATTTACCATGATATTTATGAAATCCACATCATATAGCATATTTTCTTGTTTGATAATAAATGTACGTAACCTTCTTCGCCATGACTTTGATATCTTTTGTGATCGATAAAAATGTACTTGTTAAAAGACCGCTTGGCGCAGTGGTTAGAACGTCTGCTCTAGAGTAGTCGTGACGTAAGTATTTGATCCTTACGTCGCTGGTTCGAATCCACTGGGGGACGTGGCGACCGGACCTTCGGATGAGACTGTATAAACATTGGTTCCCTATTGCAGTAGATGCTGGCACAAAAAAGATCCCAGACTGCTCAATGGCCCTGCGAGCCGAGTATCTTATATAAATATGCAGTCCTCCACTGGCAAGCGGTGGCGTTTCCATATGAGTGTAAAATTCTCGAGATAGAGGTTAACAACAGACAAACTATTTTGAAGCATTTTATTAGATATATTCAGAAAATTGCGTAAACTACAAAGAGCGCATATTTCGTAGCATAATTATATGTAAAGATTATTCATTTGCATTTCGTGAAAAGATAAGAATCAATATTTTTTCAAATTACATGTACAAGATCATTTCCCGAAGTATCTTGTAGAATTGCATTGTTAACAGACAGTACTTTACTTCACATTGGATGCATCTCCTGTCTAGTGTCCACAAGTCACACACTATGTACTGGTCAAGATTAGGCTAACAAAAATTCTATGAAAATAATGGTCCCCAAAATTTCATTCAATAGTAGACGTGTATTTGCTGACAAAGTCATTGTACCGACCATAGAATTTACGAGATGTTGACTTTGTTTATTTGTCATTAGCTTGTTGTAGAATTGTTTGTACGTAGAACATACTCCAATCTAATTAAAATCAATTTCATTAGTCCGCGCCGTATACACTCTTACGCAGAGTGTATACGGCGCGGATAAGAAGTCTGATTTTAATTAGATTGGAACATACTCTTGCGTATAGAATCAACCGGAATAAACTACATTAGTATACGGGTAATGTTATTATATTTCTACAAAAATGAGGTAATTGAACGATAGAAAATTTGAAGCCGTCAATTTTATCAAATGGTTTACTTGTTAGTTTGTTATTCTTGTTTTCTTTCTTGTAAAATATCCAAATATGAAGCAGATTCGTCAGACTTGGTGTCTGTTATTTTAAGTTGAAAGGAATATATCGAATCAACGTAGGTATTAAAATGAAATTGTCGTCGATTCACATGCATCTAAATGTCGAATTGAAGACCACAGCAAAATACTTGTCATTTCACGTCAAAGATTCTGATTCATAATAATGTAAACATAGGTCTTCCAATAACGGAGTGCTGTAAGTACACATGGGAATTCCAATAAATTGTTAGAAACTTGATACATGAATACATATAAAAACTTTATAAATATTGTCAATCAGAAACTCGAGACTTTTATTATTATAATTTTAAACTACCATTATGAATAATCAGAATTTTATAACAAAATAATTTGCAGATTGTCATTGAAATTCAAAGGAAAGAACTCAATGTTGATTGAAAAAGCAGCTGTCTATGTCTGTAAAAAAGGCTTTCCATTGTATTAAGTGTTGAAAAGTCACACGTTTGATCTTGTACCTTTTGTTAAGTTGTAGGAGTTCGATTTTTCTAAGTATTTAAGTACCCACATCTGATTTACAACTTTTCTCAAATATGTTGTACAGCATCTTGAGCTTTCTCATTCATTGCTTTAATATCTGGTTTGTTACAACAATTACTGGATCCAGCTATGTATCTTTTTGGGGAAGGATTTTTATTTTGCTATGGAATCAAGTATTGGTAGGGTTATTCAAATATAATGTGATTTTTAAAATATATTACATATTTAGATATATTGAAAAAAACCCCTTAGAAAGGGTTGTAAGATTTTTGATGATTTGAAAAATTATCAATAGGTAAGATACTATTAGAAATGAGTATTACAAAAAAAAATACACTAAATGCATTGAAAAAATAAAACAAACGTCTAAAAATGGAGTGACATCATTTAAATTTCTCTGATTTATGTATATAATGTACATTGTATTACTGATAAACATTTGAGGAAGTGTATATACGCAGACAAAGTTTGATCATTTAGCCGAATGATTGCAACAGCTTACTATTTAGGCCACATTGTTCGAGAAAAGGAGAACAGAAGCTTTTACATTCATGTTTCAGCGAGTGATAAATACACAATGTACGTGGATTTTACTGTGCAATGTGATGCGTAAATAAATTTTTATATGAAAAATGATCGACCAGAAAGATGATCAATCAGACAACAGGGGCCTGACATTTTGCCTCTGGCCCTGGACTTCGGCTGATTTAGAGCATGCGCCCGAGGCGAACGAGACACGGCGCGGCAAAGCGAGAGACGACCTCATGCACATCAGCCATTCACTGTTGTCAAAGTTACTAACTCTCATCTCCCCTCCAAGCAATTCAACATTATTACAATTTGAAGGCTTTTTATCAATTCACTTTGCAGTCAGAGCTTGCAGCAAAATGCCTTTGTTTATAATAATTGAATTGTTTTCTTTGACCTTTGGCGACCTGTGTATGTTAGTATCTTTACATTTGCCTGCTGGTGTTAAGTTTGGTTTTTCATGTAATGCAGATATTGGAAAAGAGGATGGATTTTTAGATTTGTTGATACTCCAATTTTGCTGCAGAATTGATAATGACCTTTCTTTTAAAAATATCTAGCTCCGAGGACCATTTCACCAAGGAAGTGATCTATATTGCATACTAATACATTTTACCTCACCAAGTAAAGACACAAATAGAGCTGTGTAGTTGTCTCCCTGTTGTCTATTGCTGTTTCATCTATGATTTTTTTTCTGTCATCACTTCTTTCTTTCTTTTTTTTAAATCAAAAAGCCTCTGGTCAATTTCCAACCAAACTTTACACAGAGTACAACTAGAGGTACAATGACAAACTAACATATTTAAGAAAGCGGAATTATACCCTTTCTTAAATATGCTTTTCTTTATACTAAAATTGCATTCATTCTTCCAGTATAGACAGTTTTAAATTTTGCTCATTATTAAAATTATTTTTCAAAAAGGTTCGAAATTAACAGGACGTCATGTGTTTGATTATTCCGCATTTAAAGATAAATTAATTGCAGAATTTTGTTGATTCTTAAATGATATATAGTATATAATCGACCACCTTTTTTCATTGTTGTTCTTAGTCCGAAATATCTTACGTTTTCCAGGCTCTTTTACGGTTTTGATAATTTACATGCCAAAATATATAAAAACCGTGGAAAAAAAGCCTGGAAAAAGGTAAGACATTTCGGACTATGCTGTTCCATGTAACAACAATTTTTTTTAAAAAGATAAGGATCCCGTTTAGAATTTAATCAGATTGGTTTAGGGAGGTATCATCTGCTAAGAGAGATAACCCTAGTATATTCTTTCATTAAAATTTCATCTCCACGATGAATGATTGATAAATTCTACTTTTAGTGTATAGAGTGATCTCCCTTAATATTCCAATGCAAACGCCAACATTAACGCAACTATAGAATATAGATGGAATCGTGTGAAACTCTATTAATTACGACGAGACCAAAATTAATGTGATCATTCAGTTCAAAAAATCCCCATTATGATAACCTGAATAATTATACGGTGCACTAACTTAGATATGCACTTCACTGATGTTCCAAAACTTCAACGATTGTATGCAGAATTTTATGCTTTATGACAGCTGCAGGGTTTTCAACAATTACAAATTGCTCTCAGTTGAAGATTCTCAACTACAAGTAGATATAATTATTAAAACAAGCAAAGAATTGTGTATCCCTACTTTCGATGTCTTAGTGGACAGAATGCCATTATTTTTGGCATATTACAAATATGAACGCCACATCACGTGTCATTAAAAAGTGATCTCCAAGTTCAAAATTTTTGAAATTAGGTTAAACATGAAGGTCAAGGCCAAAGGGTAAAAAAATAATACCATACCCGGAAACATCTTATTGGTAACGCACATGCCAAATATGATAGCCGTATCTCTTCCCAGATAGCATGACTATGTTGGGCCAACATTTGTAAAAGGTTGTATGGTTGGCGTTGGGGAACAACGTTGGGCCAACGTTGGACCAATGTTACCAAGTCAACCTTCTTGACCATGACAGAATTCCTATGTTGGCCCAACGTTGGTCCAACGTAAGCAACTTCCATTCACTTTAGTTCCCAAGGAAGGAAGGATCCTGGTGTTGGTCCAACGTTGGACCAATGTTTATAATACACCCTTAAAGAAAAGTGTATTTACAAGTTGGTAGTAGTATGTTGGCCCAACGTTGGCCCGTTGTTTGTAATACACCCTCAAAGAATGTGTCTTATCAAGTTGGTAGTAATATGTTGGCCCAACGTTGGCCCATTGTTAGTAATACACCCTTAAAGAAAATGTCTTATCAAGTTGGTAGTATTATGTTGGCCCAACGTTGGCCCATTGTTTGTAATACACCCTTTAAGAAAGTGCCTTATCAAGTTCAAGTAGTATGTTGGCCCAACGTTGGCCCAGTGTTTCTAATACGCCCTTAAAGAAAATGTCTTATCAAGTTGATAGTATTATGTTGGTCCAACGTTGGCTCATTGTTTCTAATACACCCTTAAAGAACGTGTCCTATCAAGCTGGTAGTAGTATGTTGGCTCAACATTGGCCCAATGTTTGTAATACACACAAGTGTTATTTTGTTTAGGTGTTTAAAAGATGGGATATTTATATAGGGCCAACGTAGGCCCAATTATTATACTGCCAATTAATTGATGGTGTCAATTTTATAATAAGCTGCTGAGCTTTACGTTGGGACAACGTTGGCACATTCTGAAATAATTAAGAGGACTTTCTATGTCCATGCATGGATGACTGCTCTTGTTTAGATATGATATTTTCAACAATTTTAACTTTGCACTTAAGTGATCACAGCACCAAAGAGTGTTTTATTCTATTTTTTGAATTGTGTTTATGCTTATTTTTATTTGTAATAAACCAGATAGCAGAACATCGTTAGCCCAATCTTACATTATGGTTGTATTATCTATGTTGGGTTA